AGGTGCGGTTAGTGAGTTGGTTAGTACCGAAATACTTCTATGCTTATCTCCAATTCATGGATTTAAAACACATGTCATTACTCCCTTGAGGCTCATTATAACGTGATGTGATTTACTTCACTTTGTGGCTATATATAAGATTATCAAGCTCAATAATTAACTTTACCTTTTACTTTATGCTTTCGAATAGGGCGTTTCTTTACTGCTCTAGTCTTATGCGCATGTGTAACTTCTATTTCTGAACTAGATGTGGAAGAATTACTTGAATCGCTGTCCGAAGTATCTGAATTGGAAGAAGTATCTGAATTGGAAGTGCCCGAATCTTTCGATTTCCCAGGAAGTATTTTGTAAAAATTATAAATATCTCTTTTATTAACAGATACTATTACTCTCTTCCCTTTCTTCTCAGTTAGGTTTTTAATACGCAAAGTTGTTCTTACCCAGGCATCTTCTGCATCAGTCACTATTTCTGGTATATAAGTCTGGAGCTTATCATCATCATATTTGCGTCCATAGAACTAATTATTACCAAGCAATATATAATTAGGTAATGTAGAGTTATATCTATCAACCAGTACTTCAGTTGGAATCGTGATAGATTTTTTATTATTAAGACGGATATTATCTTTTATATTAGATGTAAATGTAAGTGGGATTATGGCCAATCCAAGTGGAGCTGTGGCTTCTTCTCTGATGAATTTGCTATCTTTTTCTTCGAGTGTTAATTTTCTGCTAATTTTACTACCTATTTTCTTGAGAAGCTTATTAGTACATATTGATAGTCCGAGAAATCCTAGTTCAAGGTGACAATTAATTTTCTGCGATCCTACTTTAGCTTTGACTATTTTCATGGTACGTTATATTATGTGATACATATTTGACCGAAAAAATAACTAACAATTAATTATCCATTTCCTGCTAGTGGGTGCAATTGTTTATAACCCACGATGAATGATTAGGAATAAAATCGATATTATGTGTCTCGACACTAGCTCTGCTATTATCTTGTATTATTCCACTTATAACCAGGAGAGGTACATCCACTGCTTCAGAATCACTAGATTCAAACTCTGTTTCAGAATCGCTAGATTCGGACTCTGTCTCAGAATAATCTGAATCGTAATATTCGTTTAGATCAATAAGGTTATTCTCCATATTTTGGTCAGAAAACTCAATTAATATAACTTTCCTATCTAAATTAATTGCAGAAAATTTAGGAAATAATAATTTGTAGAATGTATATAATGAAGGAGACAGAATATCAATACTATTTCTTG